ACCATCAGCTTCACCTAAGCATAAGCTTCAGTAAATCCCGCCCAAAATAATTTGCTCTCAGCTTCACATAAACACATGCTTCAGTAAATCCTGTCGAAATTATTTGCCCTCAGTTTCACCTAAGCATAAGCTTCAGTAAATCCTGTCGAACTTATTTGCTTCAGCTGCACCTAAGTATAGACCTCATAAATGCAGGGATTGCTTATTAAAGACGGGTTTTTGTAAGACAAATCCTACTCACATAAGCTCAATTTTTGTTTTCTTTTACTTTTTTTGCTCTTGGTTACCGGCTCCAATTCTTTGATTTGGCTTTTTTTCCTTTTATTCACAAATTCAAGTCTATTTTAATTTACTTTTCTTTGTAGTACTTTTCTTTACTTTTCTTTGTCTTGTGGTTTATTTCCCTCTTTACTGCTATCTGCAGTTCTTGCTTTGAATTCCTGACTAGGACCTTCCTTCCCCCTCCCCCCTCCTCCCTCATATCCTTTCCCCAATTCCTACCGCTAGAGTGTCGGGGCATCCACCACCTCCAACCACTGCCACTGTTTATCGTCCTGAACTCCTAGCCAGCAACTTCATTCCTTCGCATTATCCTGGCCTCAGTCTCGCCCTCTGAGCTGTAACTAGACAGCTATCAACAAACATCCCTCAACCACGTCCAATCCTCTCACCCATTACCCCCGCGATCACGTGATCCAACCACCACACACCGGGCAGAGCGTCTGGCAAAGTTCTAGCGAACGACGCCGCGAAATAGTATTGGCAGAGATGATAGAGCAAAGCGCTGGAAGGCCAAAGCACCATAGATCACCAGCCGAGCCGAGCCGGATCGAGTTTTTGTAATTACCGTTCATAACTCGGAGATCTGAGGTGCTAGAAAGCTGAAATCTTAAGGGAATGTTCCCCGTCCAAAATGAGCTCAAGCCCAGCCCCCGGGTAAGCGTGGTGCCCAAGTACGGGCCCGTGAGAATTTTATTGCGGCTAAGTTGATACCTTGAGAATTTGAAAAACTGAAAAACTGTAATTTTAAGAGGATATTCCCCGTTCATCTAAATCTCATTGAGCTCAAATCAAGACTCCGGGTATGTGTGGTGCCCACGTGAGGGCTCACTAAAGTTTTTCTCGGGTAAATTGCTAACTCGAGAACCTGAAAAGCTAGAAAACTGTAGTTTTAGGAGGATGTTCCCCGTCCAATCTTAGCTCAAACTCAGACATCGAGTACGCGTGATATCCATGTACGGGTCCGTGAAAGTTTTTTCCAGTAAGTTGCTAACTCAGGAGCCAGGAAAGCTAGAAAGCTAAAATTTTAAGGGGGTGTTTCCTGACAGTTCTAGCGGCCAGTCTTAATTTGTTTAGCTAGAAGCGTTTGCCGAAAAAAGCGGTGCCGGTAGCAACAGAGACTGCGAGGAACTATGCAAAAAACGCATCTTCGCACGGGCAGCCCGTGCGTTGGCCAATTATTATGCTTATTGAGCCTGACGTTTTTACGCTGCAGATTTCAACTCTGAACTTGTTGGATTCGTTAGTGACTCGCTACAAATACAGTGGTTTGGATGGAGCTGAAATGGCGAAAGTGTTAGATGAGACGCCGGCGCTGATCAACGAAATGGATTTGCAGATAAGCCAGATGACGTTCAGTTTTCTTAGTCGTGAGTTTTGTTTTCCTTAGATTATGCTGGGTGTCTGGGAGAAGGGATAGAGGTTCATCAAAATTCTACAGAATGCAGAAGCACGTTTTGGGTGTTCATTCGTATTGTGTTTTGCTGTAGCTGGGAAAAGCAGTTCCTACGTGGCAAATGCGGACTGGCTAGCTTGGCG